GAACGGCCGGGGAGCACGGGGCCGGCCCGACCCCCCCGATGGAGGGGGCTGCCGCGGGGCCGGGGCTCGGCCCCCACCCGCCTCCTGGAGCTGGCTGGTCACCTTCCTCACGGTGCACTGCACACGCAAGGCTGGGGTCGACGGCTAGGTATAGGCAACGTCCAGCGTAACGTGCCAGGGGGACGAGCTGTTTTCTTGGTTCCTTTCTTGTCCGAGAGCGGCACTCAAACCCGGCATCTGACGCCTTACCCTGAGCGCACCTCCAGCCGCTGGGATGAGACCTCAAAAGAGGAAGAGTGGCTGGGATGAAGGGACTCGGACGGAAAAAGGAAAGGTCCTCTCACGAGGAACGTTTCACTTGTTCCAGCGAATACAGCAGAAGTAAAGCTGCCTATTGGAGTATGTTCTGGGTCTTGAGTGGTGGCACGCACCCACCCCCACGCCACCAGGGACCCGTGGTAATTTGAGGGGAGGAGACAATGCTAAGGTGGCTAGACCCTGGGCTGGAGTCCTTTTCACTCTCCAGTGTACTTGTCCTTGATCTCATTGTGCCTGATGCCCTCACCTCACCTGAATGGAGACTTGGGCGTTGTTTTAATGTTTGAAGTTTAAAAAGTTTGAACACAAGGTTTTGAATTTACCAGGCAGATGCTCTCCACTTGAGCCACACTCCAGACCTTTCTGCTTTCATTATTTTTCAAATAGAGGCTTGGGCCTCAATCCTGTTTATGCTTCCAGTATAAGTAGGATGACAGGCACATGCCTGCGTCCAATTGTTTTTGTGTTTTGGTTTTGGTCAGTCAGGCTTGAACTAGACCTATGTGCTGTCCCTGAGTCCTTTTGTTCACGGCCAGCGCTCTACCGCTTTGACACAGTTTTCAGGTGGTTACTTGGAGATAAGAGTCTCACAGACTTTCCTATCCAGACTGGCTTTGAACCATGATCCTCAGATGTCAGCCTCCCTGAATGGCTAGGATTACAGACATGAGCCACGCAGCACCCAACTATATCCAGCTTTTTTATTGGTTGAGATTTGACATCCCAAACTTCTTTCTCTTCTTGCCTTGATCCTCAGTCTCATCAATCTTAACCTACAGAGTATCTAGGACTCTAGTCATGAGCTACTGCTCCAAGCAGTGAGGTTTTTTTTGTTGTTTTATCCTTGCTAGAAATGCCAGTGGCTTGGGATTATTGTTGGCTAAGCATTTTTAGTGATTGTTTCTGTTACTGCTATGATCCTTTACTGAATTCTTAGCTGGGTCCTTTGTATTCCTTCTGGACCCCACTGATTGCTCTGTGAGGTAGGTGGAGGGCCCCTACAAAGCAGCAGCATCAGAGCAGAGCAAGCATAGCTGGTATTGAGACCCAGGTTCCCCAGCACCATTCCAGTCCTTTCTGGTCCCAGAGGGGAGGGATTCACTCCTTGTCCCAGAATCCCCCTTGAGTCCTGTTTGGATTTTCTCAAGAGAAAGCTGTTGATAGGTTCCTTGGAACCTTTAATACTCTGTCACAGAGGCAGGATACAATGAGAAGAAATTTGAGTGCAGAGATGACCCACAAGAGTTCCAAGAGAAGATCACAAGGTGGCACTCAAGGAGCCATGCATCAACTTGGTGCCCAAAAGGAAGATCAGAGCCAGGAGCCTGTAATCCTAGCTACTCAGGAGGCTGAGATCTGAGGATTGAGATTCAAAACCAGCCGGGCAAGAAAGTCCGTGAGACCCTTACCTCCAATAAACCACTAGAAAACCAGAAGTGGCTCTGTGGCTCACGCAATAGAGCACTGGCCTTGAGCTGAAAAGTGCAGGGACAGCGCCCAGGCGCAGAGTTCAAGCCCCACGACTGACAAAAAAAAAAAGGAAGATCAGAAAACCAGCAACTGTATAGTGGTCAGGTGGCACATTTCAGTTCTCCAAGTTCATTCTGGCCTCTAAGCATATCCATACCTTGGCTGAGGACATGTCTCTAGATAGCCCAATTCTGTTTCTTTGCTCCTAAGAGTTATACCTAGTTTACATTTGCTGTGTGAATAAAAGACCGTGCAGGTTTGGTCATTTTATATTTTTTATATTTTTTTTGTTGGTCGTGGGGCTTAAACTCTGGGCCTGGGTGCTATCCCTGCTCTCCACGCCACAGCACCACTTCCAGTTTTCTGGTGGTTTATTGGAAATAAGAGTTTCATAGCTTTTCCTGCCTGGGCTGGCTTTGAACTGCGATCCTCACATCTCAGCCTCCTGAGTAAGTAGGATGACAGGTGTGAGCCACCAGTGCCCGGCACAGTCATTTTCTTATGTGTGGTGCTAAGAATCAAACTGAGGGTGGTGCCTGTGCTAAGCAAGCCACTGTACCACTGAACTACAACCCAACCCCAGATTAAGATATTTAAGCAACCATTGGCCTATCACTGGGTTGGGCCTACAAAGCTGACACGCTGGGACCATGGAAAATCACAACAGGGGAGAGAAGTAGAATTCTGCATATGGTGGTGACACGCGAGGACACCGGCCAGAGTAGTGTATGTGGTAGTGATGTGAGAGGACGGGTTGTGGACCAGGCAAGACACGTAGCCATGGTGCAGCTTCCAGGAGATAGGAAGTGCTCAGAGCTGCTCACAGCTGCTGGAATGACTTACCTGCTCTCTTTCATCTTAAAGTGAAAGCAAGGTATCTAGCATGGAGTCTGCTAGAGTTCGTTGTAGATACATTGAAAGCATTCCTTAGAGCCCAGCACATAAAGGACCCCTAAGTTCAGATATCAGTGGCTTTTCCAGTTAAATCCAGTTGGTTATTTATTTATTAAATAAATTATGTCGTGTTTGGATGTTTGTCCTATGCTATCTGTTGTGTAGGGAGCCATGGGCTTGGGAGTGAGCTACTACTGGACAGTGTGCCCAGACCTGGGTGTTTGTTTCATGAGGAAATCATACCTGACCCTGTGGTTTCACTTACCCGCAGAGTTCCCACTTAAAGTGGGGTGGTGTGTGACTTGGGGCACAGTGTTGGTGGAAGATAGGCTGATGTTTGTCACTGTTCATTTTCAGATGCTTCAAAGCTTTATGAAAAATGTCTGGGTCCCCCTGAAGCCCTACTACACCCAGGTTTACCAGGAGATCTGGGTAGGGATGGGGTTGATGGGCTTCATCGTGTATAAGATCAGGAGCGCTGGTAAGTTCTTATTATTATTGTTTGAGCTTAAGAAGAAAACTTTCCTGAATCAGATCAGTGGTTCTTCACAGGGCACAAACATTGATCTATTGTGATCCTTTGTGAGAATCTGGGCAGTGGAGGCTGACTGGGAAAAGCCTGGGGGCGGTAGAGAAACTGAACAAGAACCTTGATAACCTGGGTATGACAGTAGCACTAATACGCAGGAAGCGCCCTTCATCTTAAGTGACACAGGCTGAGATGCCTTGAACACAGTGCTATGTGCAGTGCTGTCTCATGCTTTCTCAACTGCCATGTCTTCCTAATGAAACTTGAAATGGGGGAATAAGAATGTGGTTCTCCATGGAACAGAGACAAAGCCCAGTTGTGTAGTAAGCCCTTGATTGGGAAGAGGAAGGAAGAAGGGGAGCTACCAGTGAGGGTGTGGAAGGGAGGAGGGAAGAAGCGAGCTATCCGAATGCGAAGGGAGCAAGGGGCCCTGCGTCGGAAGCCACCCCACGGGTGACTCCTGTTTGCCCAGTGCTCCCTCTACTGCTTCGCCTGAGCTGTGACGTCTCAGCCAAATGTTGATTTTGACAGTTATCAAAAGATGTTTTCTACAGCATTGATGCAACCAATTTTTCACTTTTATTTTAGATAAAAGAAGTAAGGCTTTAAAAGGTAAGTTTTTTTTTCTTCTTTGAATGGTTAGGAAATGAAAAACACCATCTTATCTTTTCAAACCAAATTGTATCAGTTCTGAATTAAAATGAATCTATATGCAGTAAGTATGTGAAGTAGAGTAGAATACTTGCAAATATGAAGATTGCTGTAGAGAATTCTGGATTTATGAATGAATTAAAAACCAACATGTGCCAGGCACAATTGGTTCACACTTGAATTCCTAGCTACTCAGGAGGCTGAGATCTGAGGATCACAGTTCAAAACCAGTGGTCAGGAAAATCTGTGAAGGGTTGGGAAGGTGGCTCAGTGGTAGGGTGCTTGCCTTGCATGCATGCATGAGGCCGTGGATTTGATTCCTCAGCACCACATAAAAAGAAAAGGCCAGAAAGTGGTGCTGTGGCTCAAGTGGTAGAGCGCTAGCCTTGAGCTGAAGAGCTGAGGGACAGCGCCCAGGCCCAGAGTCAAGCCCCACAACCGACAACAAAGAAAAAGAAGGAAAGTCTGTGAGACTTACGTGAGGTTCACCACCACAAAGCCAGAAGTAGAGGTGTGGCTAAAGTGGTAGAGCTCCAGATTGAGAAAAAGAGCTAAGAGACAGCACCCAGGCCCTGAGTCAAGGCCCCAGGACCAGCACCACAAGACCCTTCACCCCAGTGAGTCAAGTAAAATTTCCCAGGATAATAGAAAAAGGAGAAATTGGAGACAGCCGATGCCAGTGATAGAAGAGCAGCAGTTAGCTGTGTGAGCCTGCTACCCTGGGGAGTTCCTGGCGGCGTTCAGAATGTGTTTACAAGGAAGCTCCTTACCAGATCCATGCCCTAGTTCTGGTGGGGTGTTTCTTCTCTGTTTCTCCTCTGTGTGGTGGGGGATGGGGGACCATTCCATGCCTCTGAAAATGAGCTGCCGCAGCAGAGTCCTATGCAAAAGTCACGCTGAGAGTTCCCCGGAGAAATACTCCTCCGTGCTGTCTTGTAGCCTTGAAAATTGTTTAAACTTTCTACTTGTTGATACTTAGAAAGCAAATCATGTTTTGCTGCTTCCTTTCTGAATCGAATCTACATTGTGCTTCTCCTTGGAAGGTTCCGCTCCTGCGCCATCTCACGGCCATCATTAGCTCCTCTGCATGACGGGAAACGCTGGTCTGCCTGCACGTTTGAGCAAGCTTTGTTAGCTGGGAACATGGAACACCGCTGTACATATCCTTGTAGGGGCACCACTTCTGTGGCATGAATAAAATGTGTCTGTGAGATGCACCACACCGTGCAGGTTCCAGTGTGTCCTCCCCTGGGGTCCTGCTCGTGCAGCAGGCACTGAGCCTCACACCCGGCGGCCATCCTAGGAAACCTAGGCCTCCAGGGTCTCAGATGTGGTCCTGGTCACAATCTAGGCACTCAGTCAACTGTAATGTTCAATAAACGTCTATAAACCACTGATCTGCAGCCCACCTCCTGACCTCTGAGCCTGTTCACACTTCTGCAAAAATGAAACGTTAATTATGTAAGTTCCAACTCAGAATTATGAAGGCTAACACGAGAAGGGAAAGGAAGCCAGGTGCTGGTGGCTCACGCCAGTAATCCTAGCTACTCAGGAGGCTGAGATCTGAGGATCGCGGTTCAAAGCCAGCCCAGGCAGGAAAGTCCTTGAGACTCTTGCCTCCAATAAACCACTGTGGTGCTGTGGCTCAAGTGGTAAAGAGCTAGCCTTGAGCTGAAGAGCTCAAGGACAGCGCCCAGGCCCAGAGTTCAAGCTCCATGACCGACCAAAAAAAAAACAATTGAGCTGGATACTCAGAACTATTATCCTAGCTACATAAGATCTGAGAATCTGAGGCCTGGTTCAAAGCCAGCCTAAGGTAGACAAATCCAAGAGACTCTTCTCTCCAATAAACCTGCAAAAAGCCAGAAGTTGAGGTGTGGCTTAGGTGGTAAAGTACCAATCACAAGCTGAAAAGGACAAACAAAAGCTTGAGGCTCTGAACTCAAACCCCATACCAGTGTGTATGCACACATATACATACAAGCACATGCAAGCCAGTTGAAAACCAGGCGTGATGTATACCTATCCCCACACGCAGGAGAGTGAGGCAAGAACCACAGGTGCAAGGCAACAGAAGAAGACGTCTCAAACAAAAAGCCAAGCCAGGTGCCAGCGCCCATGCCTAGAAATGTAACCACTCAGACTGGAAGTGCTGTGGCTCAAAGTGGTAGGGCACAATCCTTAAGCACAAAGGTCGGGGACAGAACCTAGGCCCTGAATTCAAGCCCCACAACCAAAAAACTAATCATTGCTACTACCCTTACTTGGTCTGATAGCAAATTCATAATCTATAGTATTCATCTCCAATTAAAGCATTTCCAAAGACCCCTTGAGTCAAGGTGCAAAAAGATGGTACAGCTGGTATCACTCATGAGGTAGGCGTGAGTCCGCTGCGAGCTGGGCATTTGGTAGGCTGTGCGAGTCCAGCTGTAGACTCCCTGTACCTGTCTGCAGCATGTAGTAGAAGTCTGGGCCGGGGCTGGGAAGGTGGCTCAGCAGTAGAGTGCTTGCCTGGCATGCATGAGGCCCTGGGTTCAATTCCACATAAACAGTAAAAAAAAAAAAAAAAGCTGGAAGCGGCATTGTGGCTCAAGTGGCAGCGTGCTAGCCTTGAGCTAAAGAGCTCAGGGACAGTACGCAGGACTAGAGTTCAAGCCCCATAACTGACAAAAAATAAAGGTCCTGGGCTGTGGTAAATGCCTGTCAGGTGCCTGCCACAATCAGACCTGCCGTAGCCTCAATCCACTTTGGGTTTTTTTGTTTTTGTTTTTTTTTGCTGGTCGTGGACCTGAACTCTGCCTGGGCGCTGTGCCTCAGCTCTTTAGCTCAAGGTGAGCTCTCTACCGCTTGAGTCACAGCGCCACTTCCAGCTTTTTCTGTTTATGTGGTGCTGAGGAATCGAACCCAGGACCTCATGCATGCAAGGCAAGCACTCTACCACTGAGCCACCTTCCCAGCCCCTCCATCCACTTTGAAGGTGGGAACAAACCTACCTCGTGTCTCTTAGTGTTGGGTTTGCTACCTGTGGGAAGCCTATGTGAAAGCATTACTCGACACCAGGCTCCAAGGCTGTTCTTAGGTATGCCAGTATCAGAGGCTTGAAGTCAGAAACTTCAGCTTATTCATGGTGATACCTTACCACTTGAGCCATGCCTCTAGCCCTGCTTTTTGCTGATTAGCTGGAGATGGAGTCTGCCAAGGCTTGCCTGGAACCATGGCTTCTAGGCCTCAGCTTCCTGTAACTAGGAATTGCAGGCATGAGCCACCTGACGGAGGTGAGGCTTAGTGCTGACCCTGGAGTCTTGCACCGTCAGACACACACCTCTGCTCAGCCTCCAGAGGAGGTCCTCCTGTAGCATGGTAAGGAAAGACCCTTCAAAGTTACTGATACACTGACTCAGGTTCCTGGGACATGCTGATGCCCAGGTGCAGGCTGTGGAGATTGCGGATCTTTGGAAGAACAGGACTGCGGCCCTGCCTTGACACCCACTAGAGTCTGGCAGCTGCTGCTCACTGTAGAAGGGACCAACACCAGCCTCGTGCCATGGAGCTTCCTGTGTGTTCCCTGGAATCCAACAAGGTGTTATGTCAGAAGAGGAAACAGGCTGAAAGGTTGTGGCAGGCTGAAGGTGTCCCCGCTGGTGAGCACTGGGAGGGGACTGGGCTGTGGTAGTCTGAGCTTGCTGGGAGGAGAAAGCAAGGATGTCCACCGTGTCCCATGGAAGCTCTTCGCACACAGGCTGGATGGCTGTTTCCCTCCACACCTAAAGTAAATCTGTTCTCGTTGGAGCTCATATCTTGTGCTGGGCTGGGTAAGAGACCATTTGAACTGCAGTTGCTAGTCCAGAACGGCTTCCTAAGCCGACATGTACTGAGAGTGGCCTGTAGGTGGAGCCAGAGTGCCTGGCCGTGGTCATAAGGCCTCCCCTGGGGCAAGGAGTGAGGTTGACCACCCTGCAACTATGCAGGGCAGGGCGGGGGAGCACAGTGGGAACTGGCCGGTGCTGGGGGACAGTAGAGGGAAGGTGTGCACACACCACTGCTGACGCGGCAGCACCTCAGCTGCAAGGCACCAGCGGCTCACACCCGCAATCCTAGCTCCTCAGGAGGCTGCGATGTGAGGACCATGGCTCAAAGCCAGCCCCAACAGGCAAGTCCAACTAACTGCCAGAAAAACTAGAAGTGAAACTGGATCAAGTGGTACAGGGATAGCACAAAAGCTCAGAGGCAGGCTCGGCGCTGGTGGCTCACACCTGTAATCCTAGCTACTCAGGAGGCTGAGATCTGAGGATCATAGTTTGAAGCCAGCCCAGGCAGAAAGTCCATGACACACATCTCCAGTTAACCACAAAAAGAAAGAAAGAAAGTAGAAGTGGTGCTGTGGCTCAAAATGGTAAAGTGCTAGGCTTGAGCAGAAAAGCACAGGGACTGCACCAACCCCCTGACAAAGCCCAGACCCTGAGCTCAAGCCCCAGGACCAGCGCCAAAGTGGGGAGCTGGGAGGGTCATCTCCGCCCTCCACAGGGGAGGAAGCAGGAAGCCTCAGGAAATCTCCACACATCTTCCTTGCTTGAAAAAAGAATTCCAAGGATGGTACCCTGCTTGAATTGTCCTGGGAGAGCCAAGATGGACCCTGTCCTGACGGAGACCCCTGGAGTCGCACAGTCCCTGAGCTTTCTTCCAGCTTTGGTGGCTTCTTCAGAGCAATCCCCTCCTCACCCCGCCCCCCAGCAGTGACCACTGGCTGCCCAGACCCAAACTGGAATCAGCCAGCACTCCTCCTGTGGCTTGGCCCCCGAGCCCCCAGGCCCGTCCCAGATTGGTTCTTCCTTCTTCCTGCTCCCGGCTGCCTGTCCCAACAAGCGGCCTGCTCCTGATTCTTCATCTGGGAGTCACTTCCCACAGCCTACCAGGGAACTCGGGGCACCTGAACTGGGAAGCCAGCCGGGAGCCTGGTCCTGACACCACCCTGCTGGGCCTCACTGCACTCTCCTCTGCCTTCTCTACGACCGGCCTTCAGGTAACCCGAGCGCCCCAAATGGAGGCTTGGGAACATCACGATGGGCCGAGCAGTGTCCTCAAGTATCCAGGAGACTGGCAGGAGGCCCGCCGGGCCGCTCGCCCCACAAAGAGCCGGCTGTGGGGACAGCTCCGAGCCGCACGGGCTGCCCAGCTCCGCGGCTCAGGTTCTCCACAGGCTCAATGAAACGCAAGCCCTCTCTTTTGAAAAGGGACAGAAAGGGAGCCTGTGTGTTTGTCCTCACTCCAGGGACAGTGGCCCTCGTGGCCCATGGCCTCCCATGCACTGGAAGCCCAGGAAGCCGCTCCTGCACCTGCACTGCCCCAGCCACTCGCCCGCCCCCTCCCCCACCCCCACCCTCGAATGGAGGGACACAGCTCCCTCCTCCAGCGGAACCCCACAAGACTAGGCATGGGGCTAGCCAGGAGGTGTTCTGGGAGTTAACTTCTGAGAGGAACTGTGCGCACAGTGCATGCTTACACAAACCCTCTCTGCTGGGCTTCCATCACAGCTGCAGTTCTCAAAGGGGGATCCTGGGCTGCAGCCACAGCGAGGTCCACTTCCATAGTCCCAGACAGGGCACGGGGTCCCAGAGAGAACAGAGGACACACCAGGCCCCAAGCCTACCTCCAGGACCCCAATGCTAGGCTAGGCCTGGACAGAGTGGGTCTGGAGGACGGTGGCTCTTTGCCCTCTTTGGGGCCATCTGGACTAGCTCCCTGCCCCCACTTTTTGCCCTTGCCTGCCCATTGAGGATGGTGTCCCGATGGTAGCTGCCCTTGTGGATCCCATGTGACATTTTCCCACATTGCCACCTGCATCTCTATCTTTTTTTTTTAAGTTTAATGGGGGATAGAACCTAGGCTCTGTCATGTGTTTGGTGAGGATACTTTGACTACAGAGCTACAACCCAACCCTTCTCCAGTGGTTTAATTTCTGAGGGTTGACAAGTCTTGATATGTCAGTCATGACCCCGATTGACAAATCTAGCTTAGGTTAGGGATGGCCCTGGTGGGTGCTGGGCCTCAGCGCTAGGGCCCTAGCATTAGACAGGAGCCCATGTTGTCAGATCTCTCCCAAAGTGACGGGCAGGACTTAAGGGAGGGGGCTGAACGAACAGGCTCTTGGGCCTCTATTTCACTATCTTCTTCCTTGGTCACTGGGGAGGGAAGGCTGGTGGAGTGACCACTATGTTCTGGTTCTCAGGGTCCCAGTGACAGTGATGACCCCCCCCCACCAGCTGCTTCTGGGTCACCAAAGGGTTGACTAATCAACACCCAAATTAGC